GGTTTTAGAATCAAAAATAATTATTGATGAAGAATAATTTTAAGTTCTGAGGCTACACCAGCACAACATAACTCTCTCTTCCTTAAGAACAACAAACCCCACAATCTCATCCTCCAGACCATCAGAATGAGCCGGCCCTGAAACCCTGCTCCAGGTCCAGAAATCACAGGGAGCTAAAGAAATGCCTCCTCAATACCACCCAAAAGAGGGTCATGAGAAGTGACCAGAACAATGCATCTTCATCATTAACCACCATGAGACATTCACAAGAAAACTCAGTGACCCCAGTGATCAAGGGGATTTGGGAACCTGGATTAATAGGAGAGACAGACCAAATTCCTCCTTTACTCCTGTAAACCTCTTTACCACACTGAAATTACTGTTCACATTCACATTGAATCCAGTGTTTCCAGCCTAAGCACAAGCTGTGGGCTAGATCTCAAGAAAAGGGAAATTCAGGGCAGAAGCAGAGGTGATATAAATACTGTAACTACAGGAATTATCCACAATGGATGAAGAATTTTCACAATATTCTGAAGTATATATTTCAATCAGCCACATCTAGGGATTTGACTTCTCCCTTCCTGTTCAAATTTTCCTACATGGTGCAAAGATTTCTTGAGCTACATTTGGCAAGTCTATCTCAAATTCCATGAGGGGGGATGCTGGAGATTAAAACAAAATGGTGGGTTTAAGCATTTTTCTGGTTAAAATCTCAGCAGAGTATGGTACAAGGCACATAAAACAGAATGCTATATTGAGCATTATATCTTGCAGGGATGTGATACAGACAGGTATCAATGCCTGAATCTGCCATATCTTTGAGCCCCTTGTTCACCCATGTGTATTTTGTAGATGTGCTCACAGCAGAAAGATTCATTGTGACTCTGAAAAATCTTAAATTACATATATATACTAAAAAAATCTCATAAGCAACCATTAATTCCTGTGGGAACAGCAAAATATATTAGGGAGAGAACAGGAGAGAAAGGGAGGAGAGAAGTTAAAGCATATTTATTATCCTGCTGTTGCTGTTGATCTTTTAATATTCTATAATTTCTCAGGAAGCATTCATTCTCGAGAAAAAGCAGCCCTGACAAGCGAGCTCTTGGATTTCTTCTAGAAGTCAGTTTTCCAGATGGGTAAGAATCCCCATCCTCAGTTTTGTCCAGTGAAAACAGGAAAAAACAGTAAGGAGTATGTCTCAGTAAGGAATATGTGTTCAAGCTGGATTTCTTTAAGTTTTCAGCAGGCTACATTTTTCTTATAGACCTTGGATAAACAGCTTTTGCTCTGCTAGTCGAGCTTTTTCAGGTTTTTGTTTTGCTTTGGACACCAGCATGGTGTAACTGCTACAGGACTGCCAAAACTTGAATCAATGCACCAAACTGCCATGACTGAGCAAGTCTTACCTCCTGACACTGCTTACAGATGACATCCAAATTATTTCTAGCAGACAGCAATCAATGCCTTCTTTTAGGGACCAGGTATCACTTCCTGCATGCTGCTGGGAGCTGATAGTTGAGGATCACCTAGCACATCAGTGCTGGGCAGGGAACAGCACCTTCTCCTGACTCCTGCTCTGTGCTCTCCCCTGCTGAAGCACAGACCTGTTTAGCTGCTCCCAGAAAATTCCTTTCCTACAAAACCAGGTTTTTTTAAAAGAAATCAAAATCTTTCTCACTTCATAATTCTCAACACATCAGTAGTGCTCTAAGGCATCAGGGTAGCAAAATACTAAAATCACTAAAGGAGAAATACAGTCCTGCTTAGCTTCACTGCAGCTAACAGTTGCTAGCAGGGCAAGGACCTTTAAATACTGGTTGAAACCTGAAAGTACTTTAAACAGATTAAGAAATCAGTATGTGTAGATTCTAGAAGAAAAAGTGGAAAGCCACAAGCACGGGGATATCTTGCTTGGGGCTCGGGGCTGGCTTCACTAAGGAACACTCAGCTCCTGTCCCAGGGCAGCTGTCACTGCCTGATGCTACTGCTCAGTACTTTATTTCTTGCTCAAGAGACTATTTCTTGCCTAATTTTCTCCAGACTATCTTCAAGTAAACAGTATTGAAATTTGTTGGAGGGTTTGAGGACTATAATTTAGTTAGTACTGAGTGAGGACAAAGTATTTGCTTCTTTTCATCTTAAAACATTTAATTTGTATCTATCACATTAAATTCTCATAAAATGGGAGACAATTAAAAATCTTTAAGACTATAAAAAACCAAAAAATCAAAACCCTAAATTTCCAATTTTTCTTCAATTATAACACATGAGAAGACTTCTTTTATCTGTTTTCAGAGCCTTTTGCATGAAAATTTATTTAATGGTCATAAATACCTAGAAATACTTTCTCCAAAGCATCCTTTAACAGTCTTCACTTTTTAGTTTATTTATTGCATGGAGATCTATCCAAGGTGGAGTCAATAACACTGCAGCTACCTACTCATCTAATCTCCTGCTCAGGCACACTCAGCAGAGCGTGCCAAAATCTGGTTAGTCAATTCCAGTTGCAGCAAGCCTAGCCCATCCCAGCATGATAAAAGGCTCAGCAAAATTTTCCCTGCAATTGCTCCTGCAGCACAAGAGGAAAAGAGAGAATATCCTTCCCTCTTGTAATTTTTCTTCTCTTTTTTTCCCCTAAGTTCACAAAGAATTATTATTTAATACTAAGAATGGGAAAGTAAATTTCTTTATTGGTCATCTCAGACCTGTCGGGCTGCGTGAAAGACAGCAAAATAATACTTTGTAACCCAAGGAATTTGTAACCTGAGGGAGATAGTTAATAAAACAAACAAAAGGATAAAGCAGATAGATGTGGAAAACAAATTATGACCACAGCTGCTCTGAAGTGACTCGCTACTCATATTGTTGATCTAGTCCTTTTCTCCAGCTGCTAAACTGCATTAACATGGCTAAAAATACATTTTCTATTTTTTTGGCTCGCCTTATTGCTTTCCCTTTCAAGAAAACACTACTAATTACCAAAGGAGTAGTGTATGGCAGAGTAAGTGGGTCACAAGCCATATAAGGAAAGTACTAGTGAAAATGTCAACATTTTTTGAACTCCTCATTTAGGGAGCATGTATTTTCTAAACAGCTTTATGTTCCAGTAGTTTCTGTGTTTTACCATTTCCTCCTCCTTTATTCCCCTGGGTATTGTGTACGAGCTGCTTGAGACATATCCCACACAGACTACAGAGAACTTCAACTACTGTGGCCTCATGTCTAAGATCCTGAGAAGCAGGCAGTGCTGTTAATTAATTCCTCAGACACCCAGCAGACAGAAACTGGCACCTTTATCTACTGTCTACTGCTCCCTTCCACTTCCAGGCATGAACAGCCCAGGTCCAAACTGGCAGACTTTCCCAATGGAAGCATTTTCCCTGAAATGAGCCACACTGAAAATGACAGGACTTGGCTGCATAGAGTTCTGGCAGGAACAGCCTCTAAACAACAGAAAAAGCCCCACAGTTTTCATCAAGGAGACATGTCAGCTCCCCAGGCTTGCACCTTTATTGCAGAGAGTGAGACGAGTGCTTCCGGAATAAAATGAAATCAAAGCAATAGCAGGTTTGCACAGCTGGTACCCTCAAGGAGAGCATGTGCCAATCTCACACCAGACCACCACTAGTAAATCAGCTTTCCAAATGCAAGTGCTGCACAGAGGAGAGCCAGGAGTGCATAAAATTGTGGGCTTGGGGCTAAGACTCCATATTTAGCCCATATCATACCCACGGACATACAACCCTCCCCACACACAAATCATTCCTCAACAGGGATAAACTTCATTCACTTTCCAACAGTACTGACAGATTCATTCACTTGGCCAAAAACAGGACAGGAGATGTACATCAGCAAGCAGATAATTTTGAAAGAAATGGATTTTTTTTCCACAGCTGCTGAATAACATTTTATTCCCTAAAAAGAGGCCAAATTAACAAGCAGTATTCATGAATGTGATACAGCTTGATTTGATCAATGTTTTCTCCCTTTATTAAGATGTTTGTTAATTATTCATTCCATAATTTTCCTAAAATGCTTGCTAAATGCATTAAGAAGTATGCATCTTTATACATTCAATTACAGGCAGAAAATTTCTATTGCTTGATTGGGGAGTCATGATGCCAACAGCTCTCATAGCTTGCCATCTTTGAAGGCAGAATCATACTTAAAACTGAGTGTAACTAGGCTTTTCATCTGAAACTGTAATTACTTTCCACTTCAGAGTTACACAATGGAGCTTCCTATGCTTAAGCCTCCCAGAGCACAGCCAGCTTGCAAAAATCAGACAAAGAACATTATCAATTTTCTCAAGGGAGTAAGATATTTGCCGACTGTCAAGAAGAAACTGTAACTATTCATGTGTAGCAAAAGTAGATGCAGCGTCACAAACCACCATGTCCATATTCCAGAAATCACTGCAGCTGAATGAAACCTCAGTTTATTGCAAACCAAGCAACATGAAAAAGTAGAATAGCCTCTAGGAAATTAGTTACAAATACATGAAAGAAAGTATAACACAGGTTTTGTTTGGGGTAATGAGGGGAAGGAATGGACTTCAATGTAAATACTTGCTATTTAAAAAAAACTTCAGCAAAAAAAGGTTGGAGCAAGACTTGGCACACAAAAAAATAAACTCCCTGCCTACGAATTATAAACATGATCCAAGTCAAGGAAAAAAAATGGCATCAGTACTTCAGATGGAATTGCAGCTCACCTGATATTCATAATGAAGAGGATGAAATTCCAAAAGGCTTCCACATATTTTATGTATTTATACATACACAAACACATATATTCATGCCTTATCAGAGTCCTTCTATACCAAGTTATTTCAACCACATCAGAGCCAAGGGAGTAAGAAAACAAAAGCAAACAAAAATGCCTTTAAAGAGCAGTTAATGACAACACTGTTTATTAAAAAAAAGGAATGAAATAATTTATAAACTGTTTCAAACCTCAACCAGTAGCTTGATCAAAACAACAAAACTCCTTACCTGTGCATTCTTATTCCTGGCTTCTCTCCTTGCTGCTTTTTCTTTTAGCCTCTTCTCCTGAAATAAACAAGATGTACAGTTTTAAAACAAACTCTTGCACTGTTTTGGGGTTTTTTTTAATATTTTAAGATTAATGTTGAGCCATCTAGGTATTTTTAATGTACACATGTTAGACTAGTGGTATTCACCCTACACGTTATTGAAAAAAATAAATGAAAGATCTGAATAAGACACTATTCATTATTCTTGCTCTTAAAGAAAATTATAAAACTACAAGAATGATTGAAGCTCATATTTTAGCAAGATATATTACTGTTAAAGGAATAATGCACCTGAGTAATTTAACAGAGCTAGTATTTGTCTGTAAAATAAAGTAATTAAAATGATACTAAGGGATCCAATTTTTCTTATTTCTCAGTGACCTAAAATAAAATCAAATCCACTTAACAAACTAAAATTAAAACTTTTTCTAACTTCAGAATTGCTAAAGTAACTGTAGAGTGAAAGCTAAAACATCTCCTCCCTTTCTTATCTCCATTACCAACAAACACTTTACAAAAGCATTTGCTTAGTAATTGTATTGATTCAGAACCACAACAAAGTTCTCCTAACCAAAAATATTCTGCTACAGGAAAATTACCTAAATGCAGTGATAAAATTTATCCAAAGCTGCCTGTTAGATCTGTCAGCATACAGTCCAACATATTTAAATCAAATGACATTTATTGCTGTTTGTTTTGTTTATTCTTACACCAACTGAAGTATTTCTCTAATTATACTGGCAGGTACTTGTAATTGAACATCCCTTAAATTCTTTATTTTATGAGGAAAAGACAGAAATTCAAGTGAGAGCACACCCTCTAGAAAAGCACATGGCTCCCTCTTTTTATCTTAGTCATCCTGATGACATTGCTATTGAAACTCTTTTATGCTAGCATAGAAATGTTTCTGAAATACAACTCGGTTTCTCTGAGCAATATAGGCCAACCTGGCATCAGCACATTTAGACTGAAGTCCACATAAAAGGAGACATTAACATCAGTCCAGGGTCAGCACTTCAGCACAGAGAAGGCTGAATTGCAGTTACATGCCAGCTCACTCATGGGAGTAATGAGAAAGCTACAGCTTCAGCAGTCCTGGTGCCATTTCATCACAATGATGCTGCCAAAACATATTGGTAGGTATCACACAAAGTTGTTCAGAAAAGCAGTGTTTGACTGCAGACATAGGAAAAGGAGAACACAGCCACCAAGATTTTCAAAGTTGGAGTCTAAATTCAGGGCCTTTTGAGACATTTGCCGGGTATGTGCCATCTTCTATTCTCCCAATTGCCTAAACTACAGAAGCGTTTGCTCATTTTCAAAATCCCTTTCTGTGTAAGTCAGCCTCTTCTCTCCAAATCAAAATGAAACAATTCCCCAATGTTTTGTGCAAAGCTGTCTGACTCTAACAGCTCAATACACTCAGAGTTACATTCCAGAGCCTTTAATGCATGC